TTTTTTTTTTTTTTTTTTTTTTTTTTTTTTTTTTTTTTTTTTTTTTTTTTTTTTTTTTTTGTTGTTAAAATCTTAGTATAATATCTATTCACATCGCCATTTTATCAATATCTCCATCAACATTTCCATAAAATCGAAACTTTGTCGATTTTATGAGATTTTGAAATTTCTATCAGCATTTTAAACCTGGGTTGGAGTAAGATGTGTAACACAATGAATATAAGCAGTTTCTTTACCTTGTTCCTGTCAGGACTCCGTGAAAAGTAGAAGCCAGTACCGACTGGGAGAAGCCAGAGAAAATATTTCTGTAGTGTGGCAGGACCAGCTCTCCTAACATTACAGTACCACAAAATAATTATCAAATAAAAGAATGGAACATATTTTGTAATCATTGCCTATGGTATTTCAATTTAGTCTTTCTTATTCATCACATAACCTCTTTATTGTTTCAAAGTAGCCCTTTGCCATAACTTGATGTGGCAACTACTTGTTCTGATAGTTGTTGACAGGCTAAAGGCTATATAGTCAAAACTTTTTAAAATTCAAGGACTTAAATATAGTTTTCTTTCATTATAAACTATATTTATAGGGATAAAAATAACCATACAATGTTCACACTAGCAGAATTTACTCTGAAATAAGTACAAATAGATATCCATAAATAGTTATATTGAGAGGATCTTTTTATCCTATGCACGCAGTTAAAAAATCAGCCTGCCTATGTTTCTCATCTTTTAAGATCGACAAAAAGTCCAGTTTATGATAGAGAACTGACCTATGCCCATTAAGTTGCTGTGAAGGCATGAAACCAAAACTGAAGATCTTCCCACAACCACCTCCTCGCTCCGCTCCAAGATCTTAGTTGGTAAATCGACGTTTTCAGAGAAGTTTTTGTCTGGACAACCCGTGGAATTAATGTGACAAGAAATGATTTCAAACCATATCCCAGATGGAAATCTTTTCCGCTTCACCAACCAAAGGTAAATTTTGGCATAGGGTGTAGCATGAATAGCGGAAATTATAACTTCAATTAGCAATTTGATGAAGCTGATAGATGAATTCAGAATGGTAAAGAAGACATAGAAGACGGAAGTCGTGGGTAAAAGAAGTAATAGTGGTGTAAAAATTAGCGATCCAACAACATGTTGCTTCACAATGTAGTCATAACTATCTATTCTCTTCCGAAGAGGATTCTGTTTTTGACCCCTGCAAAGAGATTCAGATACATTAAGAACAACAACAAGAAAATTCAACAAGTCTGAAACTGATATTCAATAATGTATTAGTTAAGGAAGAAAAAAGAATAAGATGTACTTAGAGATTGGATCGCACATACTTATTCCCATCAGTGATTAAGGCATTATCTTCCTTACACCCCATTCTAAGTCACACCTCACTATATTCTCACTCAGATGTCTGGGCATTGAAGAAAGGACGCTTTTTAGAGGTGAAGGTTTTTCAAGTCGCTTACTAATATTACACTCTTTTGAAACTTCAAACTCTCCACCAACTTCTCCTTTTCTCCTTTTCAAATGCAATCCGCTTCTCCCAATTCAAAAAATATGTATTTATGGGAAAAGTTTGAAACTCTGTCAGAATCGATAAGAAAGCATCTTTTGAAAATTTTAATTCAAGGCTCTTTTGAGAGTTCATCAGTTTCTCCTTTTCTCCAATCAAATGCCTTCGGCTTCTCCCAATACTTACAAAAAAAAAGTATATATTTATGGGAAAAGTTTGAATCTGTGTCAAGCATCCCTGTAATTGATAAGAAATCATCTACGAAAATTTAATTCAAGGCTCCACTAAAAACACCTGCAAAAAGCATGGGGATGAGCCGAATGGCTTCGAATTCCTAGTTTCAAACGCACTGCCATAACTTTCAAAAACCAGCAAACAATTGAAAGCCTGCATGCAAATATCTAAAGAATCTCCATTCAGATAGTTTCAAGCGTCAAAAGAGCTTTCTGATATTATTGTGGTAGGCTACACCACCCCAGCCATCACCCTTCTCCAGAAGAACACAGAAGAGACAACTATCAAGACTATCAAACCAAGGCATAGAAGTTTTTTAAGCTACTCTAAACATATATGTAAGAGTATACTGATTTTAGGCCATACTACGTATCATCCCATCATGCTTGTAATGTAATAAACTTGTGTCAGTTTAAATTATAACTAGCTACAATTTCATGATAAACAGAACGGCTATGCCCAATTAGAATGGGTCTCAAAAAGGAGTTACCTAAAAAGGCGCCATAAAGCTGCTAATGCTTGAATCTGTGATGAATATATGAGGGAGAAAAACCAATGAAGAGTTGACACATGGCAACTTGCAACTGAGATCAGATCTGAGGTAAATGCAGCAGGCAATGTCCCTCCGAAAAGAATCCCCAATATAGCAAGCGCTTTAACAACATAAATAAATATAAAACTAAAAAAGAACCAAACCGTAGACCAAATTTGGATTGCATTGAGAGATACAATGCCAAGAACTCCAGTCAATTCTATGTTTAACTTGAAACCTGCAGGGACTCCCATCAACCACACACAACCCGTACGCAATATGTTATTTGTGACATCCCTAGCAAGGTTAACAATCAATGAACAAGTAGAATCTGCATAACATAACAATGCCACACCAACCACATTTCCCAGGAAAATATCAGCAGCTATGCTTGACCACATTGAATGCCTCTGTAAAGCAACTTTCTCCTCATATTCAACATTTGATAGGAACCTTCCGAAACAAGTAGAAGATGAAAAGAAAAAACAGTTCATTGTTTATGAAAATGAAAACCCCACAACAAAGAAAATTAATAGAGCCAGGAAAGACATCCAAATAGAATTTCTTACCCCACGCCGCACTCTTGAAGTATAATTGGCCAATACAAAATTTGACAACACCGAATATGGGCATTATTGTATGAGGTCATGAAAATTTTTGAGACTACATCAGACGTCCATAATTGTAGTCCAAGACTATGAAGTTTATAAGAAAGCTGAAAAGTCATGTAGAAGAGAGTAGAAAGTGAAGCAATAGACACAGCCAGAAGACTCCACATGAATGAATAACACCTGCAAAGAGAAAGTGCTGAACATCAAACGATTCAAGTAAATATTGATAGAATTTGGTTTCTTGTTCAAAATAAATAAATAAATAAAAAGGTAAATATTTATAGAGTTCAGTTTCCAGAATCAAAGCCAAAAGAGAAATACCTGTCAACGATGGAAAACTGAAGAGAGCTTTTAGCATGCAAGTGACTTTCAAGTGGTCTTTTAGCAGCTGCCGCACAATTGATAGCCAAAATGACTGTATCCTGTACATGGTAAATAGGCATATAAGAAACTACTATTCTGCTAGCCTGAAAACGGGAATCCTTAAATTTTCCATTACCAAGTCAAAACTTGATCCCTTTTGCTGAAGTTCATCAACCCATTTTGGTTTCTTGAAAGATGAATTTTCTTGCTCGTATGAATTGGAAGGTTGCAAAGAGAAATAATGGTGGTTATATACAGGAGGATCATAGAATACGACCTACATAATTTCAAACCAGACAGTTAACCAAGATTTAACAGTTAAAAGATTTGGTACAGATCAAAAGAAACCTTGATTAATCATGACTTACATACGTGGACATCACAATTAGACACTTTCTGCCCATTCCAACAAAGGTAGTCCAATTTAGGAATCCAAAATAGTTCTGAGTTTCCATGCTTCTTATCAGAATCAAATATCAAGAACACCAAATTACTGCTCCTACTATAGACTCGCCTACATTGCTCTGACAACCCACCTAAATAATGGCATTGAGCGGTGGATCTACTACAGCTGCCTGTGACATTACCGTCTCTATTCATCCAGCATTCATGGTGACAACAAGAACCTTCTTCTCCATTCAATACATCAATTCTGTCGCTTGAAGAAATTCCATTACAACCTTTTGGAGCAGACTGACCAAGTAGAGAAAACACTGACTTATCACGCAAAATTGCAGGCATGGTCCTGTTTGTATTACAGATGACTTCCTGGAAGACGATAATAATATATTCATTTGACTTTTCTTTGGGAATAAAATAAAGGTTAAAAATGTATTCCCATAATAAGAAATGAAATGACAAAAAATATTAGTGAGCGGTCCAAATAATAATGAACCATGCTTGTAAGTCTCAGAAGAGATTAGCTCCTATAGTAATTGCATGACTATGACCTAGTTGATTCCTTCAAAAAGAAAAGCAATGAATTCTTGTGAAATATGGCCTGAACACCCCACGTGCTCGATTACAATTTTTCTTTATTACGTCCAGCTACTTAGTATGTTCATCATTAACTTATGTCATAACTATGCATCCAAGTTGATTGGAGATAAAGAAATAATCAATATGGAGGGAGAGGCGAAGAAGGAAGGAAGGAAGGAAGGAGAGCAATTTCCCCCATAGTTTGTCTTAGATTATAAAGGTAGAATGTAAAATTTTGCCCTCCTAATGAACGTGTTGGGCTCCACCCTTGTCTACATGTAAGCAACTAAAAGATGAATATTGGTCAAATAACCGCCAATTCTCCATCCTTATTTCTATAGTTCAATTGTTCCTTTCCATATCTCAACTGCCTCACATGAGCATTATTAATAATTCGCTCACATACATCATCATGAATAAATTTAGATACTTCAATTCCACTCTACAAAATCATGATGAATTGATAAGATTTCTCATTACATGAACTGCACAAATGGCACAAAGCTTATATCAACAGTGTAGAAGAAGAACGTTATACCTCGAGGTCGCCTTGGAGTTGAGACAGTGAATCATCACTACAAGTGAATGCCACTACAACGTCAAGGGAATCCGAAGAAGGTACAAACCAACCAAACAACAGACAAAAAGACGACAGTTCACATGGTGAATGCTGCTTGGGCCACCATAGTCTAAACTTCCCCTTCATTTTCACCTCACAATTATTATATCCTCTGTACCATCACGTATTCCCACACTACAACAATCTGCACATCAAAATTAGTAGTGCCCGTATAAGTTACAAAATTAAATAGCTACCCTTATAATGTATGAAGTAAATTCAAATCAGTAGGATTGACCTAATGATCGTTAATTGTAGCACATGATAGAAAGTATAATGAGTAAAAGGAACTTTGGACGGTGGCCACCTATGAAGCTACTAAAATCTTAAGAGTTTTGCAACAACTAAATGCTAGTTGTGGAGTTAAGTGCTTGTCCCGCAAGATTAGTGGAGATTAAGTTCAGGTGCATATTGAGAAAAATGTAGTAAAGAGATTTCATCCACGATATTGCAATCACCATTTCCATCCAGAACAAATCTTCCTAGAAAAAAAAAAACGCTTCACGCAATAATATAAAAAAGAAACACAACGATGCAATCGAACTCTATCCATGGTTTCAGGCAGCATATCAAGGACACATAATTCAAGCAATGATGATTGCAAAAACTGGTTCGGAGAAACAAAACATGAGCTGTAAGCTAAAATGCCAGGTCCTCGTAATTCGATTTCAGAATTGTTTGAAATCGATGAAACTATTTCGAAATCAAGCAATACCTGCACGCGGTGAGAGGGAGGAACCACCATATCTACAATTGATATCCCCGACGCTTGCAACCAGCTGTGAAGGTCTGCGTGAAGAGAGGGCTTAACGAGCAAGGCCACCGGCTGCCGCCGCTGACCGAAAAGATAAAAACGGAAGGCCGGCTGCGGCCAAGAGACGGTCAGATTTGGCGGGGACGCCGATGGATCTGAGAGTACAAGGAGGAGAACTGCGAGAGAAGATGAAGATGCCGATAGGAAATGGGATAGAGCAAAAGTGCTTTTTCATTTTTTCATGTATTTTTTAAAACCGTAAAATATTTTCAAATTTTTAAAAAATTGAAGGGGTATTTTTGAAATTTTAAAAAATTACGAATATTTTTATTAATTTAACCTAAAAATATATTAATATCATCCCTTTCTCTACCAGCAATATAAAATAAATGTTACCCTAATAATATTCAAATTACTATAATAACCACAAATTTCAGGTAAATAATAATAATAATAATAATAAATATTTATTTATTATTTATTTTATGATGAAAATAAATTTAGAGAATTACAATAATTGTAAACTAAAATATAACACACGTGGGTCCAATAAATTTACTATTCTTTTTCCAATAAAAATATAATAGAAAAATCCTATATGCCTGCTTGGAAGTTGCGGGGACATTGTTGGATAACAACCATGCACCTTCCGTCAGTGTATAATTAATTTTTTTGCAACTTTTAGAATAATTATTATTCACTATATTTATATTAAAAAAAATCAATACAAATTCTTTCCGACCACCAAAAAAATCAACTGACCAAAGACCGATTCAATATTTAATAAGAGTGTTTAAGTACAAGCTGTATAGCTCTCGAGACATTTGTACATTTAAGAGAATAAATTATATAAATATTGTGGCGCTCGAGTAAAGGTAGGGTAAATAAATGAAGTGAAATCAAGAGTCGAACCAAGATTAAAAAGATAGTTAAAAATAAAAAATAAAGAGATAATAAATGAAAGTTACTAGAGGGAGAGTGAATGGTACCGTTAAAAAACGATGCAATTCCACCATAAATAAGTAACTGTAAATCTCCACGTTTTTTCTTTTCCACCCACACAATATAATTTTTAAAAAAGGGCAAAATAGTAAATTTGAAACAAATATAAGCCATGACATTCAGGTACGGTCATTACCAGACAAATTTCGAACGTGGCATGTTCCGATTCCTCGCTGATAACAATCCGTCAAAGTCAAGGAACAACACCGACGACGCGCTTTAATCAAATTCACGCGCCAGATTTAAATAGAAAGATAAATAAATAAATAAATGAAAGATTCTTTTTCTCCACCTATAAAAAAGCCCTCTCGGCTTCTCTTTCGGTAACCTTAAGGCTTCGTTGAAATCCGTCGGTCTCTACGGATAAGACTTCGAAATTTCTCACTGTTTTTCCCAAATTCCAACTCGGTCAATCCAGAATTCCCCTTTCTCTCGTTGATCTGGTAAATATTTCGTATCCTTTTCTGTTTTTCTTTTTCCGTTTTGATCTGCAGAATGCCTGGGAGAACGAAACGAGAGGGAAATTTTGGTTTGATCTGCGCTCTTAGGTTTTGCTTTAGATCCGGTTGCGTTTCTTTGATTTCTTGATCTGCGATCTGTGTGATTTCGATTTATCTGTTTTTGTGCGTTGATTTCTTTGCGATCTGATGTAATCGTAGCGAACGAGGATTTCTTTTTTGCATGTTTTGTGATATTTTGATTTGATTGATCTAGATAACTGGATCAGATTTGTTCATGACTTGGCCAGGTCAATTTTAGCGAATTCGAAGAACAAAGAACGAAAACGTTCTCCCTAGCTTTACACATTTGCCTGGTTTGTTGGATTTTAAATGTTTGGCTGATTTTGTTTGTGGTTCTGAAGGTCCGTAAACAGCAATCGTAGAATTTCATTACAAAACAATGTCTCTAGCATCCGAAGAAAGATCAAAGCTAAACCCGAACGCTCCGCTTTTCATCCCGGCCGCCTACCAGGTGGAGGATTTCTCCCCGCAATGGTGGCAACTGGTCACAACCTCGACATGGTACCATGACTACTGGCTGAGCCAACACCAAGAAGAGAGCGACTTCTCCTTGGATGGCGAGGACGATTATGACATTGCTGAATTCCTGCCACAGGCGTTAGATCTTGAAGGCAACGAAGACCTCCGCACCATGGAAGCTGAATTCGAGGAGTTTATTCAAGCTTCTCTCAATGAAGGGACCCAAGAACTTCCTTAAGGTGACCCAAGAACTTCCTTGATGATCAGCTTGCTTGGATTTTCAGGTTTAACATGTTGATATAAGCACAAGAACAAATCTGCAGTTTTTTCTTTTTCTTTTTAAAATCTTCTGTTCAAAGTGACTTGTGTATAAAGCAAAGTTGCTGCAACGCCCACTTGTTCTTCATTGTGCATCTTACTTTATGCGTCCCCCAAAAACAGTGTAAAAATAAAGGAAATAGCTTTTAAATGAGACCGATGAGTCTTCGTTGTCTACTTTTCTATATTATTATATTTAAGGAAGAAAAAAGGACACATTGAGACTAATGGGTCAAGCAAAATTTGTTCCTTTAGAGAAAATATGAATGAAGTTGAGGAGTCCCTTTCAATTTTGGAGTTGTTCAAGGGCTATTTGTAGAGATAAATTTTAAAAATGGAAACTAGAAGGGCCCCACTATAAATTTGTTAAATCACTTCGAGAGGTATACATTGAACCTTGACATTTTGAACTCGGGTGTACATTGAACCCGACATTCCAAACCCACCCAACATGAATTATAGGAGTTGGGATGGGTGGGTTAATTTTCTGAACTCGAACCCAATTTTGCGTTGACTCAATGTTTTGTGAATTCGTTGCTTTAAATCTTGTATTTACTTGCCTATGACAATCATTCTTAACTCCAAATCATATAGTTTTGTGACAATTTTTAATTGAAGTTTAAATTGTTTTAATATTAGAAGTCAACCATTATTTTAATAGAAGTCAAGTCAACCAATCGAGAAAGGATGGATAAACAACTTTAAGAGTTTAAATATATGATTATAACTTTATACATCACTTTCAAACAAAATATATAAAATGTTTTGGTTACGATAATTTAAGAGTTTAATTGATATGACTCTGACCCATACCACGCATGCAGTTATTTGTTTGGAATTTTTAATAAAAATACCTAAAAAATAAGACCGAAAAAAAATTAAAATGTATTTGAAATAAAAGAACCATTGACTTCCATTTTCTTCTTCTTATTAATCTTTCAAATTTTACATAATAAATAAACATAAATCATGTTTTCAAAGTTTGAAGAGTAATTTAATTTTAAATAATAATAATTAAAAAAAAATTGGAAATTGAGGACTGAAAATTTAAAAATAAGAGAAATTAAATGTTAAAAAGAAAAAAAATACACCAAATCTAATAACACGAGATTCCCTCCCACCCAAACATTCTGTATGACGTGGCAAAAGGACTCCATGCAATAGCACCCTTGACTTCCACGTTGCACCAATCAAATCTCTCCACTCTATAAATAATCAAATTAGTCGAATCCTCATCAAACCGACATCCATTCTCCTCCTTCGCTCTTCATGGCGCAATCTCTTCAACCTCCTCCATCCCCGCCGCCGTGGGAGGTGCTGCTTCTCGTCGCCGAACGCCTCGACCCCAGAACACTCGCCACCGCCTCCTGCGTCTGCAAATCCTGGTCCATTTCCATGGCCTCCAACAATCTCTGGGAGCCAATTTTTAGTGCCAAATTCCCTTCTCTCACTAACCTCGCCGCCTCCTCCGCCACCACGTCACCTCCCGTGTCCTTCCGCCGCCTCTTTGGCCTCGGCCACACCGCTGCAGCTCGTCGCCGCCCCGCTCCCTCAAAACCCATCCTCTCCCTCTCCGACCTCGTCTTCGTCATCAGCGTCTCCGGCACCGACAAAGCTAACGGTTGTATTGTCAGTGGCGGAACCAAGAAGGAAGAAAAGGGTAATAATTTCTCTGAACTTAAACTTTGAATTATTAAGTATGAGAAATAGAGGTCGGGATGAAAGTCTAATTTTCATTGATGTTCGTTTAAATGGAATGGAATCTAAAGCTAAATTTATGTTTTAAATCAAATTTGACCGTTTATAAAACCAAATGGAGTATCGAAATCAACCCTTATGAAATTTTGTAGATGTGCCCGAACCCATGTTCACCGTCGTGAAGCACGGCGGCGAGCTAGCGGTGGACCGAAACAGGCTGTTCAAATTCGACATAAATGTCAGCAACGGCGACGAGGTGGTGGTGATCGGAGCTGGAGAGGAGGTGGAGGTGGTGTGGAACGTGGTGCTGGAAGGATGGAGGGCGGTGTTCACAATGATTGAATGTGGAGGAAGAGTGGGAATGGCGCCGAGAGCGGACGGGTGGTTCTCGGAGGAGCTGCCGGCGGCGGGGTGCTGCCCGAAGGAGGTGAGCGGCGGCATAGTGGCGGATCTGAAACTGGGGGTGTGTAAAAATGGGGAGGGTGGAAAGAATGATAAGGTTAGGATTGAAAGCGTGAGTGTGGGAATGATGAGTGTACTGAGTTGGAGATATGTGAGTTTGGACGATGGGTTGATGTATTTGCAGCATTTTTTGTTCAATCCTTAGAAGAATTAGTTAAATGTGGGAGGGTGATTTTGCTAACTTGGGTTGGGTTAGATTCATACCCTAGTAGAGGGTCTACCCGAGTCGGCATTGTATGATATTTTTTTTTGCAACACTTGTGTCAACACAGGGAATAAATCAACCGTGAGAAATTTGGGCGTCGCGGACGAGGTTTGTGTATGTTCGAGTCTCGAGTTATATTTGCCAGAGATGTTTTAGAAAACGTAAGCGAGAATAAAGAAAATAACGTCCTATTTTTGTAAGAAATGAAAGAAATATCATGGTTTAATATAACATATAATTCAGGTACGAATAATTGACGATTAGTTGCGTTTTCAGATATTTAGGTACGAAGAATTGACGATTAGTTGCATTTTCAGATATTTTAGTTACAGTGGAGGTAGATATGATTTCTGTGAAGTGACCATGAAATGGTAAGTCGTCACACATATGATCTGATACAGACAATACATTATAGAAGTCGTCACACATATGATCAAGACATCTGAATACAAATATGATCCAGACATGTGATACAGATAATACATTATAGAGACAGACAAAGACAAGTATGATTAGGACATTTAACATGTGATACAAACAATACATAGCACGA